AAGCAAATTTTATTATGCTTCTTCAGTCAATTGTTCTTCCGTTGATTAGACAATGGTGTCTGTTATAACCCGTATCAAATATATCTGTATAAAAAGATGAAAGAAAGATTACAAAACATGCTTCACAGTTTTATTACATTTTAAAATATATTAGAAATACTTACACGTATTCACGATTTTAAATTTTCTTTTGCGGAACACCGAAAAATGTACATTAATAATTGATTCGTTTACAATTTTTGGCGTCGAAACGTAAACAATAAACATAACTGTATCATCAATCAAGACATACATAAAGTAATTGAATTGTTGATGTGTTTTAGAGACATGTTCTTTCAGTATCAATTAACACTTGCAATTAACGTTCGTTTATACGCTGGGTTTCTAAAGCGCCCATACCAGAGCACACGAGGCCGATGGGTGCTCGCGTTTAATCGCTAATTTATCGCCTCACACCGCATAAACAACGCCGACTGTAAACAGAGATATAGGCTTGAAAGACGTTGAATTAATTTACATACATGAGTATCATATGAATGTTTTTATTATTATCGCTTTTCCGTTTGCCTTTCAAACTTATTAAAAAAATCCAAACATCCAAGATTTTCCTGTTTTAAATTTCAATCGGATAGTTTATTTATGCATTGTATAATTAAATTTCTTAATTGTGGTTGAGATTTCATAGATAATTCGCCATTAAATTCTAGACATATCTGATAAAAATACTTGTTTGTATACGTAAAAATGATTATTTACGCTAATGTGCCCCATAGTTAATTCTGACCACCTATCGTCTTTGCTATCAAGTATTTTTCTGTAAATTATCACAAGTCAGACTCTGAATAAACAAAAAAGGATTTAATGCATGATAAACTCACCTGATTTAATTACATCCTCTGAAACAAATAAACAAATATATTGAACAATAGAGACTAAAAATAAATGTAATACTATTTTTAGTATGCACTGTTAAGGACAATTATTATTTATCATTGTAACTTGTTTACTGTAGACACTTTTATGTGAACATGTGTCACTACACAAAGAAATATCAAACATATTGAGACGTTGTGAAGACAAAAGGCTGTGTGACATGACATGAATCGAACACTTTATTATTAACTCAAGATTATTTCAATAATCGATTATATACATACATATGTTGTGCCGATGTATCTGCTTACATCGGTAAACAAAGGCGGCCTTGTGTACGAGTATCGTTTTATTGTTATCGACGCCGCGGGCTGTACTCGCACCTGCCTTTAAATTTATTTTGAACCATCGACAATTTACATGTAATACAAAAGTAATTAAGACGACACACTTTTGACGACGTCCGCTGTCTCGCAAACAGGCGCCCGGCTGAATTTGTAATTTAATCATTAAAGTATAAAAAACATAAAGTACCTTTAATGTCCATTCCAAAGTAACATAGATTTTGAGATGTTTAAGTATAAGTAATTAAACCGTAAATATGAAGTAACAGCCCTAACAGTAGAAACGTAATACTTTGTCGTGTCGGGGCAACGAAGGGTGAATATCGACGAAATGTGCATCAGTCGTCCGTTACAAAAGTTCTATAAATCTTCATGGACTCGTATACTTCCCTTCAGTCTCTCGTGACAATTTTTCTTAATATTATCATATAAACATCAGTTTTTGAAATGGCCCTTGTGCAGGTATTGTTTGCACTAATATTGATTAAATCCCTTTTTCTTTTTACTTTTCTATATACAAATTTAGATATTCCTTTACACCATGAACGTAAATCCTCTCAATTAAACGTTTTAAAATGCTAATGCTTTTTCCAGGCTGCAGAATCAGTTCCTGAGAATGCAGTAAATGAAGTAGCAGAGGAGGCCAAATCAGACTCTGAAACTAAGGACGAAAAAACTCCAGAAACTCCGGTCACCGAACCCATTACAAACGGAAGCAATACACCCGAATCCCCAAAAACAGAATCCTCCCCTACCGATGAACCCATCCCCGAAACTCCGGAGGACAACGACAGGCCTGAACCGAAAGCCGCTTCGCCCGAACCTAAAGCAACTACGCCTGAGCCGAAAGCCGCCTCGCCCGAACCAGAGAAGTTGCCTGTGAACGGACTCTCCTTAGAAGAACCCAAAGTTGAGGCTCCCGAGGTACCGAAATGTGAGGATAGTAGCGTTGAGAAAGCTACGACAGAGACATCGGAATCGGTTCCGGCCCCAGTAATTCCTGTTACAAAA